AGCCCAATAGCTTGTATAAGGTTGTAAGAATTATTCCCTGTTCTGATGGTGTCCATACATTTTCACTGGATTTGCAGGAGAGACAGGGCTAAAGAGTAAAGCTAATCGACAACTTGACAAGAGGACTCCACAGTTGTATTAGTTGAAATCAACCTTCAAATTTATTCAATACACACTTTCCATTAAAGTAGAAGGGAGCCGAGTAATTATAAGCCAAGAGATTCCTCGAAAGCCAACTTTTATTCGCATAAAAATATATACTTTTATCCTAGATTTAATGAAGAAACTAGCTAGTAATTATTTATTTTTATAATGTTACCACCAGAAAATATAAAAACCCGTTTTAAAGAAACCGTCTTATTCTATTATATATTCGAAAAAATGAGCTAGAAACTACTTTTTGTATGCTTCTATTCGTATATTCAAGGATTTATAAAAGTACAAAAAAATAGTTGAATGAACAGAACTTTATAGATATGGAACGTACGAGTTGAAGGCGCCGGTTCAGCTCTTGATCTTCTTGCTGACGTTGGCTGAGAAGACTATTTGCCTGTCGTAGCTGACTTTCGGTCTCAGCACGGCGTAGCTCAGAGTCGCCTAGTTCCGTCTGTAGGGCAGTTAGTCGTTCTCCTAACTGTTGGCTTTGCAATTTGGCATCGTGCATAGAAAGACGTGTAGTATCCAAGCGTTCCTGTTTCCCAGAAAGGCGGGTTATGGAGTGGGGTAGAAAGGATTGGAGAGGAGAAAACCTAAAAAACCTTGTTCGTATCATGCAAATTCAATTAGAAACTTTCAACCGGTGGGTATGTAAATAAAATCTACTGATGTGGTATAGTTTGGGTAATATATTTTAGATTAGCTTTTTCACTTTTGTGGCCTCCTAACTGGACGGGTGTAGTAGAATAGAAGCTATATGATGCTGTACTATGCATAAACAGTACGTACAAAGAGTCTTGATTAAATAGTTGTTTTGTTTGAGAAGTGAGAATTAAACTATATAAAATAAGAAATAGGTTGACCCCGTTGTCGCAAGTTGGTATGGTTGTCAGGGGGACTTAGTAT